AGATGTCGTTTAAAAATCACAAAAACCGAAATTATTTGTATTAAAAAACTTGAATAAACAATTTTTTTTTTTTACAATCTTTGACAAGTGTAGAACTGATTAGTACAAATTATAGCCACTGCAAACATCAGAATCATTCATATAGATGACAACAATACTTTCAGCTAACTGTTGGTAAGGCACTGAAACTACTCACTGGAAAGAACTTCAAAATTCAACAGCAGTAAATAATACTTAAACCTGAAAAGTTTGTTTGTTTTAAAGTACTTCATTCAGTGTTGAATACTGTTTAAAAAAGCGCTGGAAAAAAATTTGTTTTTGATACAAAGCTTGAATAAATAAAGCCAAAAAATTTGAATAAAAAAAAAAAAAGACAAAACGTAGACATTACCAGTTCTTCTATCTTCTTCATTCTCACTTGGCAGCCAGTTTTTTTTTTTTTTTCAACAAATACTGATTCCAACAGTAGTCTGTCTGAGCAAATGCAGTTTAAAAGTAGTACAGTGTTCAAAAAAATTTATTTTTATATCACCAACAACAAAAAATTTTTCAAATTTTTTATTATCGGTTGTCAAAGAGCTGTATAACTAATCCTAATAAAATATCACCATTTTCTAAGTGTTTAGAAAATTCTTATATGTTGCAGCTAACAAAAAGACTAGTCTAAGTTATAGTAAAAGAATTGAAGTAAATTTTAGATGCATTCATTTACTACAAAATGCTACACCTTTTTTAAGTGATAGAACTTGTCATTTTTTGCTTGAAAAGAGTCTTTAAAAAACTTATAACTCAGGTTGTTTTAAAAAAGTTTTAACGCTTTTTACTTTTTTTGATTTACTATATTCTGTATTTTAAATTTTACTTTATGTAGTTTGAGTATGCTAAAAAATTGTTTAAATAAAGTAGAAAGAAGATCACAACAAAAAATTTTTAAAAAACACATATTTAAGTTTTTTTTTTAAATATTTCATGTTGAATTTTTTGCTTTATATATTGTCAGAACTTAGTAAGAGTATTCTTTTAGAATCAGCACTTACTAGCTTGAGATGAACGTAAGACTAGAAATAACTCTCAGTTTTCACACTAATTCTATCTATCTTATAATACCAAACTGAGTACTAGGTGCTTATAAAACTTACAAAGAGCACATACTCAAATTTAACACTTTTCAGTCGCTGTAAATTTGTTTAAGAATTACATTTTTTACGAAAATACTGGCAAATTATTATTCTGCAGCGTCGTTAGAAGCAGTTTTCACTTCAACGTATTCTGTTTCTCGTCTTGTTTTTGCTAAAACTTTTCAGCTCAGAACTTTCCTGCTTCAGCTAGTTGGAAGCAGCATGCAGTTTCTTCCTAAACTTCTTGTTACCTAACCAAATTAGAGAATTTTATCACATGATGTTGAAGAGAGAAAGTTGAGTAAAGTTCCTGCCTGTCTATACAGAAAAATCATACCAGTCGAAGTCCAGATACACTTTTAACAATTCAAAAGTCTTCTTCTTGCTAATTTCTTGAATACCGAAATGAGTAATCTTGTGTTTTATCCGTCTTTATGTACAAAATCCACTGTTTTATGAAATTTGTATTAGAGCAATAGTATCGGTGTTCTTACTTTCATGAGCTAAATGCTTCTCAGTGACCCCTCTAAATGGCTACCGTATAAATATATATGTATATATATTATTAAACCGACGTAAATCAGCCTGTACAACTTTTGATCTTTTCCAATTCTCAGAAGAAATTTCATATAGACACTTCAAAGAGTTATTATGGTAAAAATAAACCGTGTTGCAAGTATCAACTGCAATGAGTAAGATACTTTAGTAACTGAAGAACTAAGAATACTAAAAACATATCGTTGCTGAATCAATAATAGGCTGAAAAACAGTTAACTGCATATTAATTCACAAAGTACTTAACTTAAAATTCAAGTTAAAAAATGATCAAATACTAAAAAACTTTAAAAAATTTGTAAATTTTTATTACTTGTGATTTTTCAATTTAAAAATGACAAAAAATTAATCAATATTTTACATATGCTTATATAAACTGTATTTATGTTGC